CCGTGGCCCGCCAGATTGTACATGAGCTCTTTTACATTATTATAGTGTTTGCAAAAAGATATCAGTTGGACAGTAAACATAGTTCTTAGCTGTTTTCCTGATTCCGGTTACCTGGTTATCGAAAAAATGCATTCTCTGGTGTCGACAAATTTCAGTAAAAAATATCGCCAACACAGTGTGTTCATTAATCAAAACGCATATTAGTAATACGTTACGCGTACAACTTATTTGAAATTTCAAAAGGGACAAACGTAAATCTTCAAATGAAGAATTCGTGGACGGTCCGAATACCGTTAAAAGGAAAAAAAAAACAAGCGAGCCGAGACTAAGAACTACAAGTACTTCTGCATGTTAAACACGTCGAGATAATAGAAAAACGATATCGACGTCATTATAGTATACCTGTTATATATGTACTTTAACCGGACACAAGTAAAACTGAAATAGCGATCGTTATTGAGAAATCTAAGTTTATAATCGTTCTATTAGTCGGCCAGACATTCATACCGACGAAAATGATTTTGTTCGATTATTGCAGAATGTGCCGATTTATTCGCAATCATATCTTATACACGGATGTATCGGACAATTTGATACACATAAATGAACGCGATTGAAGTTGAAGCGATGACTTTTTAACCGGTGTCGGTGTCGTCGTTTTTATTATTATTATTTTTTGTTATTTTTCTATTTTTTTTTTTTTTTTTGCTCGGACTCGGGACAAAACCCGCGCGATTATAATACAATGCATTCCGGGCTCCGGCACACGGAATGAATGTTGTGCAAACGCACATTATCATATTATCGCGCCGATGATAAACATAAAACGTATATGATTATGTGCAACATAATATTATACTACGCTGTGGCCAAATCGCGAGCGTCACTCATCGCTAAACACGCGGGCGTTATAACTGTACAGCTGCACAGTATAATAACACGCACGTCCTCCTACCCACCCCACGGAGCGTGTAAATGAAAAAACAAAACATATGAGTAACGTAATTTTTTTTTTTTTTTTTCCAATATTCGATAGACGATAATAATAATTACGTAGACAGGACGGATTCCCCGTTTCCGATGAGAGATGCGCGTTGAAAACGCATTATGTTGGAAAATAGTAGAACCGCAGCCGAGGTCCGTCACTACATATCATAACATATTATCATAGAGTCGAATCACGTCTATTTCGTATTTTAGCAAATATATATATTATGTTCTTCGGAAAACGGTAATTATTACTGTTATAATTTTTTCCAACGAAAACCGTAAATAAAAAAACATGACAAAAAAAAAAAAACTTTTAAAAGGGGAAAAACATAATCGGCACGAAAAAGGCGGCGGCGGGCCGGGGGGTGAATGTCGCGACCCCCGAAAAGTATACGTACTCGCGATACGCGTGCATAATGAACAAGCTATTTCATCGCCCCGTTTTCGTCGTTTGTGAGCTCTGTGAAGGGGCGAACAACAAAGAGCTATAGAAAAAAAAAAAAAAAAAAAAAAAACGTCCGCCCCGTCGCGACGACACACGATCATATGCGAATTGCTCATATGGAAACTAAAAACCCGACGATTTTTACCGTTACGGTAAAAGCGATATAACGCGACTCTGATTCCCGAGTGTTTGCGCTTGTTGTTCGGTCCAGAGGAAAACCGCTAGAAATGTCCATAGAAAAAAAATAAAAAAATAAAAAAAATAAATAATAATAATAATAATAAAATAGCGGGAAAAAAGATATACCGATACCAATCGCGGTATATCACGCGCGGTATTGTTGTGTACGATAAAATACACGTTGTAATCTGAATTTTCGGAGAGGGAAGTCCGACAGAGAAGCCAAAAGGTTCGAGACGAATTATGCAAATGTATACGGAAATCTAATTTCGCGCGATTTTGCGATAGCGGCTTCAAAGCTGTATAAATGTAACGAAATGCAATTTTAACCGAAAACCTATGCCGTGCGCATAACAATACGTGTAACAATAATAATAATCGGTTCCGTTATTTGCGTTATTTCTGGCTGCACGGTTAGTAATTGTTGTACGTATCGGAACAATACACGTTTTGCAATATTTTAATATGTTTTTCACCCGCGACGTATTTTTATTCTAAATTAAATTCAACGCGCGTGTGCGTTAGGGTATTTGGAATAATGTGGTAATTTCCCGCGCATAAAATACATATTTCGAAAACAGTTTTCAATGCAACGTTTTCGATTGTAGTTTTCATTACTTGTGCCGGATACATTTCCGTTTGTCAAAATACGATTTCAATTAGAAACCAAAAACGAGCTGAATGGGAACACTTATAAGGCGGCCAGAGACGGTAGGTTTTATTTTTTGTATTTTACACGGCCAACGGAGATTGCCTTTACCCGGGCACGTCGCCTAGTTTCATAATCAAATGTCTATGGAAAAAAAAAAAAAATAATAATAATAATATAGAATCCGAAAATATATCGAACGTGCTATCAATTTTCGTTTGTACAAATTATAATCAAGCAGGTAGATGAGAATTAAATGTATTTATAAAAAAAAAAAAAAAAAATCACACACGAGCAGCCAAGCTCCGTCACTAGATGCGAACATTCATCCAGCTAAATTGCTGCCGTTACAATATATGGATTTTTTTTATTTTTATTTTTTTTTTTTTACTACGAGAAATTGAACGAAAACAAACATGTAAAGTAATTTTGAGATTTTCGCTTACACACGAACAGACGGTGGGGACGGGGCTAGGAATTTCAAACCTTCTTAACAAGGCACATTCTCGAGTCGAATTATGTTTTTATGTAAACATTTTAAACAAGGTATTTACTTTCATGAATCTTTAAAGGTATTTAAAACCCGGTATTTTCCGTAAAAACATGAAATCTGAGCATAAAACAATATCGTGAAGATCAAAAGTTAAAACCACCAAAGTGGCTCGTCCTTTGTACGTACACTATGCTATACATGCACGAATTTGCATCTCCCTAGCTTTATTTTGAACGTATTTAGGAGTGTATAAATATAAGAAAAACACTCTTCTCCAACAACAAGTAAAGTTGAAATGGGGACAAGTGCAGCCACTGATGTAGATGAGACCAACTTCCCACCTACATCAGGAAGGCAGGGTATAGACGGGAATAATTTTATGTACACCTGTAAGCAATGATAAACCATTGCTTACGAAAAAACGATTCCAAATGGAGTTCAGTTGATAGTGGTGCTTTGTCAACAATAAATGTCATTTCACAGTAAAAAAAAAAATAGTTAAATAGGCTTTATATATTTATTTTATTAAAATTTGTTTAATGTAATACTGATTTTCCCAATTTTCCTACGTTTTTTCGGTTTTTCAAAATGTAATGAGAAAACTCCTAAGAAAATCGAAAAACGGCCTCTTTAAAGTATCTCCTTGTGGAAATTTCCTTCTGTAAACATCGATATCATTAAAAGTTGGAGTAAAATTGCTGGTAGAAAATTTGTACACAGAAAGAAAAAAACCATCTCTGCAAAACCATAAGCTTCTTCGCTTCACTCAGAATCCAAAATTAATCACGAAGAAGTCTAAACAAATTCAAAGCATGACGAAAGTTAGCAGTAGACATTTTAGAGGAAATAAAACGAAAACCTAAAAAACAAACTAAATTGTTTCGGGAGGCCGATTAATTATTATTATGCATGCTTGAACAAGCTACAAGACGATCGAATAAACAGTTTAACCCATCAATCATATTAGAATAATTAATTATATTATATCGAATGTTCATTTGTATTATTTTATTAATAAACAATTTAATGAGGATCTTTACACATCACGTGTTGGTGACCGTACTCCTCCGAAACGGCATGACCGATTTTAATATTTTTTTTTTTTTTTTTTTTTGTATATTTGATAGGTATGAGAATAGGTCGAAAAATATTTTTTTACACTCCTAATCCCGCACACAGTTTTTTAATCGTGATTTTAGCATTTTCATTCGGTTTTTAGATATTATCAAATTATTTATTTTTATGGATTACCTTAGTTACACGAATGAAATGAAACACAAATATAAAAGTTCGGTCAAAACGTATCTATGGTAATTAATATAAATAAAAATAATTCTATGTGTCATATTATTTTATGCAATACAATGTTGGTATTGATGTTTTTTTTTTTTTAATTGTCATTGAAGATAAAAAATATTTATCGTTTTTATAAAAAATCAATACATTAAATTAAAAATTGGATGGCTGGCTTTTTGTTATTTTTATAGGCCGTCATCAACCACAGCGATTCATTCCCTTTTCAATCATAAGACACCACCCCCACATACTTACAATAAATTAGTTATTTTTTATACTACAATTCACTGAAAATATATGGAAAAACGGTCCTGTATTTTTTTTTAATCGTGTTTTAGTATTTTCGCATACAAAATAATTTAGCTAAAAAATGAAAAAAAAAACTATTAGTCCGCCGCGGGCGGACTACCCACATTTCGACAATTTGTATGTATTTGTTATTATTCATTACTGACACGGTCAAAACCAAAACGGAATATGGGTAAAAAATGGCACGGCCAACGCTGGGCGGGACACAACCGGTAACATAATATATAAATATAAACTGAAATATATTTAATTATTATTATTAATAATATTATTAGCAAGTTCGTTTTTAATGATGGCACCACCGCAGAAAGCGAAAATAAAGAGATTACACGTATCGCTAGACCGAACATTCGGCATGAGGCCTATCGTGAAACGCAAGGCGTCGGGTTATGCGTATTGTATTTGCTTCGGCGCCACGTGTTATTATTATTAACCAAATATAATATTAATTATTACGATCGCTTCAAATTACCTATTTTAGGCCAATGAGCAATTGTATGCTAAACGTTTATTTTAATTATAACTGCGCATGTACAGCTGCTAGTAGCCAGATGTGAAAGCGATTGGCCATTTCAATTTGTCCTTATCGTAATCAGTTACATTTAGCTGAGTAACGGCTTGATAGGCGACATCAAACAATGCCGGTGCCTCAAAGTATGGGCGGGCCTAGAGAACTACGAGGGCCGGTCGTGCGCGCAAGATTGACCTGTATATATGTGTTGTTCGGTTTGACTATCCGTGGCAGAAGATTTTGCTGGATCGCGTCCTTGAGGAGTTCAGTGGCGACCACGGTCCAGGCTCTAGTCAGTGGCGGTTCACAATGTTCGTCCGAAATTCGTGGACGCTAAACTTCCTGTTATACGAACATTTTAGGCGTGAATATTGATGTTTTCTTGTGTTCCAGTTGGTCTTTCGCTTTCAGCGCTATCTAGTGTCAAAATTGTACAACTGACAGGGCAAATGATGTTCTATGTTACCATGTGAATATTAAACAATTGATTAACAAATTAGATTTTTACTCAATTAGCAATCTGAGATAAATAATTGAATCGACTAAATAAATTTGTTTAAATTCTAAGCGGAGCGGGAAATGTATGGGTTTTACAGTTATTGTTTTTTTTATTTTTATTTTTACCCGTACACAACTTTTCTACCAGAAATCTCATTCCGATTTTCAAGTGTGGCACTTTTTCCGAAAGAAAATTTTCCTGAGGTAGGTATATAGTAATTTGAAGAGATATTTTTTGGTTTTATCATCATCTCTTATTTTGGTATAAGCCCGAGAAAAAACTTAGGAATACCAAGAAAATGTATCAAATATATTATTTTCAAATCGTAATTATTATACGGTTGAATCACCTGTATTGATTATGGTATAACTGTTATTTGCAGCGGTAAGCAGCAAATCAGTCGATTCAATCTATGCATATCAAGTTGTTATGGTTTTTACATTTTTTGTTACATTTTTTCGTTATTCTCGTGTATTTGAGCCTGCAATCAATATAAGTACGTTATTGTCCAAAATTTACGAGTATAAATTCTAATCTATAAAAAAAATATGTATTTTAAAATTTAAAATAATAGGCAATTATCTCAGTATTAGGTCTTCGTACAATACTTTGCGCATCGCCTTCCTAACGACGTAAAGACTCGGGTATCGGCGGTACCACGCATTGCAAGATAACGTATTCCTCAGAATAGTTCTTTGGGCACTTCAGTTCATTTTTTGTTTTCATCCAATTGACGTATGAGGATATCTATAATACTGACTTACCTAATTTTGGAAAATTTGAAATTTTATTTTATATTGCATTATATACTTTAAATGATTAAACTTTTACACTCATCTATACTGAATTAAATATACCAATGATTTCAATAAAAATATAGGTGGAAGTAATAATAATGTTTATTAATAAAGCTTCGATAACATGAAATTTTTATATATTTTGATAAAATTATTAATTTTTGCAATATATAAGTACGAGAAATAAAAAGATAATTGGGACAGATGCAGCCACTGGTTTAGGTGGGTAGTTGAGAAGAAATGGGATTAAATGTATATCTGTAAGCAGTGATAAACCATTGTTTACGAAAAAATCGATTTTGAGCGAAGTTCAAGTGATAGTGAGGTTTTGTCAACAATATATATGCCATTTTATGGTAAAATAATTAAATAGGCTCTATATATTGTATTTAATAATATTTATCTAATGTTGTACCGATTTCCCCAGTTTCCCCGCGTTTTTCCCATGTTTTATCTAGGTTTTTCACCTTTGCTGGAAAAACTCTTGGGAAAATCGAAAAATGACCTCTTTAAAATACTTCCCTAATGAAATTTCCTTTAGAAACATTGCTATTATTAAAAGTCGGAGCGAAATTGCTGGTAAAAAAAGTTTCGCACAGAAAATAAGAAAGCCGTAATATATTTTAACAAATACCTACATTTCTTATATTTTCCCGTTCTTTTTGGGGTGGGGCTTTTCAAATTCGCAAATAACGCGATTGCGTTTGCACTGCCACCGGGTTTCGAACCTGAGGCCCTAACCTAATTCACCTAACACCTTGTTTACTACCTTACCCTATCTGTAACTATCCGCGGAACAAGTTTAAGAAACGCCGATCTAGAGATCATATTTGCCTTCATATGAAAAATATTACTCTAGAAACGATCAAACGATCACTTATCGTCATCTGGATATTTCAAAATGTACCTTTATACTATACGCATGTTCCTATTACTGTAACGTATTGATTAAAAAATATTACATTATGGCATACAATACTGAGCAACGGGTTCGATGGGATAATATTCGCAATTCACCGCGTGCGATTCGTGTTAAAATCCAATTGACAAGAACGTGAATGATGGTTCTGTAGGTCACACATGTGAAAATATAATAATACATAACACAATGCAATACGATAGGAACCTTATAATAATAATTCTGTACCGTACAAATTATATACATGATGATGGTGTTTTTTTTTTTTTTGTTATCGTTTTATTCAGCGATGACCTACGACGAATTAGATTCCGAGTGAAATCGCTGCGCATTTCTGTTGCATTTTTCAGGACCGCGGTTCACGTGCCTATACATACAGAGTCGTTTAATGATCTCGTTTCGCGATATATTTTTTCAAACCGATATTCCGTACGGGCACGCCGCGATAACGTACCGTCGACTATTGATTGGAAAATAACGAGTTAGCACTCGCGTTGAGCGTGATCCATTATTATATTGAAAACCACTAAAAGCGACCAACAGCGTTTTGACGGGAAAACATAGCGTTCGAACATAAAACGTTACGTTGTTAAACACGATCGCGAAATAAACGGAAAGCGAATTTCGTTCGAAACCCGCGGAGAAATAAGTCGGGGCGGGACGGCGATGAAAAAAAAAAACCCAAAAATGAAATCACCCCGTGATACTTGACGGTTTTTCGTGCGGATTTTCAGCCCCGTTGTATTCGCTATACCTAACCTTTCCGATTTTCAAAAAACGTTCCGTCCGCGAAACAACTTGCGCCGCCCCTCCTGGATACCGATACCTATACGATAATGAGTATCGCTGTGTTTTTTTTTTTTTTCTTATTATTGTTATCCGTATCGTTATTATTTCGTCGGTTTCCGTCGGGTGTGCGATTTCCCGCGACGGCCCGCGGCCTGGTGCGTCGACCGTCCGGCGCGCGCAAGACGACGGCGACCGCGACGTAACCGTACGTCGCGCAGATCGACTTTCCCACCAGCCCCCCACGGCGTACGACCCGCACCGTCGCGGCGCCGGCGGCGGGTGTTGTATTGACTATTAACCGGGGATTTTTTCGGTCGTTCTCTTCGGTAATGTCAACCGTAACGCCGAGAATACACACACACACACACACACACACACACACACTAATCCGAATCCGAAAACCCGCGTGTTACAATAGCAATACTGTGGCGTGTCGTTGGTCGTTACCGATTGGGCGACGAAACGAACTTGGGTGAAAAACTCAACATTTTCAAATCGAAATTACGAATGTTGCTTATGCCACAGACCCGGAGGGCTTACCCTCTTAATGTGTCACAGTTTCATTCGGTACATTAGTTATTAACAATCGCTTTCCCGTATGTATTTTCTCTCGTTTCGTGTATTTTTTTTCATGAAGTCTGTGATCGACTAACTTTAGGGAAAAAAAAAAAATAATAAAAAATTGTAAGATAAGTCCTCGTGGGCCCCCACACGAGCATGCTCAGTGGGGCGTGGCGCCCATTATTCTTTGAAACGAACGCTTAATAATAATAACACAGCAAGCTAAATAAATTACAAAGTCGTTTTATTATGTCGCCGTTGTACAGACCGAGCAGTTACCTATAACTGTATAAGATCGGGAGCCTTTTCGTATAAATTTATATTTTATGAGTCTAGCTATAGAATGTCTAGACATTGATGTATTTTCCAAAGGGCAACAGATAACTACATGTTAAGGAGCCGACGGTTCCTGACCCCTGGTATGAAGTATATCCAGGAGCCCTATTCAAATATAATCAAGTCGACACTGATTTGCTAAAAGGGCGTATACCTCATTCAATGCATGTATATTCGGTGTATACAACGTATTATGTGGACGAGTAATTTTATTGGTTTCCATGATAAACAAACATTATAAAAAACTGTTTTACTATTCCTTTGCAAAAGTTTTTTTTTGAAAAAAATGTTTTAGTGGTATACGCTCTTTTAACAAAACACCTTCGATATTAATATGTATTTTTTCCGGCCCAATGGGTATCGTGCTGGAACTTTTACTATTTCCCAAATAATGCCCCGTAAAACAAGAATATTTTTTACAGTCATCGAGATAGAAAATTTCTATCGAATACCGCATTGCCGCACGCCAGACGTATAACAGAAGAATCTAATAACGCGATTACCGTTTGTTTCGTTGTTCAGTGGTTTTTTATTTATAATCAAAGGTCCGACATTGTTGCTATTGTGATTTCAGTTAGGTACTTAATTCATATAACATATTGTGTAACCAGAGACCAATCCGTAGTTAATTCATTTCACGCATTACACTATAATATTTGTATACTACACAGTTCAGTTCAGTGACGCCTAATTTACTTTAGAATATCTCTCGGTAAAAAATGTCTCAGGATTATCTTGGACCTTGATTTTATAATTCTATACTTCAGAAGCTAAATACAAATATTTATTTAAATAAGATCTATAATGTTAAAAAGATTTACTTGAATGGTTGTTTTCATCTGTTACTTAAAAATGAAAATCTGTAGTTTAATATTCATAACATCTCTGTAACAATATAAAATCTTATAATATCTTTATTTTGGTTCTTTAGTTGTAAGTAATAATGTAACATATACTTCATTAATCAATTAAGTAATTTTATAATTTTTAGCTCTCGACCTTTACCACAAACTCAGTTTAAAAAAGGTTGATGATTTATTTATTATGAAAAATGTATAAAATTGTAACGTTAATAATCAACTAAGTATATTAAAATTTAACGGTTTTATTAATTAAAAAAAATTAAAAGCTATACTAGGATAATGAGGATGGGCGCAGCCACTGTTATAGGTAATTTAATGTTTATCTGTTAGCTGCAATTAACCATTCCTAACGAAAAAACAGTTCTGAGCAGAGTTTAGTTGCTTTTACAATAATATTTATGTCATATTATTCCAGAAATTCCCAAATGTTGGGAAAACAAGAAAAAATAAGGCCATAATATTTTTAACTAATAATACCTTCATCTTACATTTCCCCCTTTTTTTCCTTTTTTTTTTTTTTTGGTTTTTCTCATTTATTCAGAAAATTCTTTAGAAAATCAAAAAATGACTTTT